ATAGCTTTTATTATAATGGTCAAGACTAAAAGAATTAAATACATATGTTTTTCTTTACTCAAGTATAAAATAATGCACATAATTTAGGATCTGTTTCAGTTTCTTCTTACCACCTGTTGTTAAAATGTTGTTTACAAGCTCATAATCTGAAGACAAAATTTGCAACACAAGTCTATTGGGTTGATTTACTAAAGGCAATACAATAGACTGTGCACTTTGCAAGTACTGTTGCACTAATTTTTTCCTACAATTTAGTGAATGTGGTGAAGCTTCACTTTGGAAAGAATACCCAATCAGGTGCAAGGAAAATAAAGAAAAACAGCTCTTTTGCTTGCACATGCTTGGATGATGGAAATCAGCAGAGCTTCACCTCATTCATTAAGGTCTGGGGAAAATTAGTTCAACCACAATTGCACAGTCTATTTACTTTAGTAAGTCAACCCCCATGAGTCAGAATGGTGACTTCACCCCTTTTCATAACTTTGTCTAAGGTTTCATTTAGAGACTTTGGGGTTTTTTACTAAAACGGCATGGTGCAAAATCTGGTTTAGCTCTGCATGGAAACCAGTCAGCATCCAGGTTTTATTGCCACAGCTTAACTGTACAAGTTGAAGTTAGAAGCTGATTCGCCACCATGCACAGCTACACCAGATTCGGAATGCAGCAGTTTTAGTAAATCCCCCTGTTTGTGACTGAAAGCAGAGCGCTACTGCTGCCTTATAGCACAGTGCAAACTATTTGTAATGTAGTTAATGTTTATTTGTAAAACAAAGATTTACAAACATAAAATGACACATTTGGTCTTAATTACTAAAGACGTTAAGAAAGTTCACATATTAGTTTGAAAATGCACTTTAATTATCTAGTCAAGTACAGAGATAAACAGTAATTTGCTTTTCACATGATTGGTTAATTCAGGAGAATATTCACACAATTTATTCCTCCTTTAGTAAATCAGCCTCATGACATTTATACTTTTTTCTAGAGGTTAATTTCAACCAAATATCTATTTAAAGTGTGGTTGGACGTCCTTATGGGGAGATTTAGGTTCGAACATAATCCACAAATTGATTGTATTCTGCAGGTGTGGTATATTTTTTAAGAACATTAAAATACACAGTTTTGTTTCAATGGTTCTGCTGTACTGCAGCAGTATGTGAGAATACAATTGATACTAATGGGAACAATTTGCTCTCTATTCTTACAGGTTCTGTAGGGAGGTATATTTGGATATTCTCATTTAATATGTTCTGATAATTTGAGAGAACTGGGCTTTTAAAAACTTTCTGTGTGGACAAAGAGCTTGATTTATTGTGGCAATCCACTGCAGCTGTTGATTATTGAGTATTTTCCCACTTGAACTTTATATTTTTAAAAGCAAAATGAAAAAGTTAGCCTTGAGCCTATAAAAATAATACTCGTCTGACACACCAGGCTAAAGGACACTTATCCCCTTAAGCAAGAGTGTATATGCCCTTTGCCATGCTGACACAATCCTCATGCCCTTCAGCATTAACCCCTTCATGCCGCCGTCACACAAATATGCGGCCTCACAGAACTGGGCTTTATTCCGTGGGGCCGCATATTTGCGCACGTCTTTGTGCTAGGAGCGCACTGCACAGCGCTCCCAGCACAATAACCGGGGGGTGACAGTGAGAGCCCTGGGTCCCGATTCTGGGTCATATGATTGCTGTGATAGCCTCTGATTGGCTATCACAGTGATCAGTCACTGTAAAGTCCGCCCCCCTTGTTTTTTTTTCTCTCTGAATGGAGAGAAAAAAAACAACTGTTTGCTAAAAGAAAAGATAAATAAATGTTAAAAAAATAAAATAAAAAATAAAGAAAAAATACCTAGATCAAGGTTTGATCTAGTTCAGTGCCAGGGTTAGTGTTTGGGTCAAGGTCAGGGTCAAAGGTCAGGATTTTTTTTTAAATTGGTATCAGTGTTAGTGTGTTTTAGGTAAAAAACAAAATGCGCACTATTGTTTCTGGGCTATACTGTGGGTACAAACAACAAATAACAAACACATATATGGTATTGCTGCAATCGTCAAGAGCTGTAAATTTATTTTGGGTTGTTCTTTGGCAGTAGGTTATGATAGTAACAAGAAATGCACAGCTAAATAAAAAAACATGATTTATTGTTTTACTATTTTGGGCCAGTTTTATTTTGATAATAAAATAAAAAAAAAAAAAAAATCAGGAGATATCCATTACCATTTACCACCAAATCAAAGCCCAACTTGTCCTGAATAAAAACAAGGTATAATTCACCTGGATATACAAAATTGTTCTGATGATATGAACGGTGCTACTACCCTTAGGCGTGAAGAGGTTAATGAAATACTGCAAGAAGGAACCAAAACATGGGGCTGAGAAGACATAATGTGCTTCTTCCCACTGGTAAACTGATAATCCATTACAAATTACTCAGATGCAAGTTCAAGCTCAAATAAATAAATAAATACATACATACATAAAGCCACTCAAAAAAAAAAAAAAAGTAAAAAAAAAAAAAAAAAAAGTTACCCTTTCGTTTCCCATTTGTCATTCAGGGCTTTTAGCTCCTGTTTGAATGAATCATATAGAAGGTCATTATTATAAAGGGAATACATGAATCTAAGAGATTCCCAAACTCCAGTGTCTATTAATTATTTCAACAATTCAATACAATATATTGCTATCACTGTTCGGTGGTTTCTGTTAAATGTATAAATTTTAGGAACAACAGCAATAACAGCATGAAAACTCGAACATGGGGATCTTAAAGAATCCCACACTCCAGTAACTATAGAAAAAATCTGAGTTTCAATCAAACTTGCCCACAGCGAAGATGCAGGAGAGCTCTTCTACCTCAACATTACCATGTTTCAATAAAAAAAAAATGAAAATAAAAAAAGAGAACAAGGAAAATTAATAGGCCCTCTTGTATTTAACTCACTTGAATAAAGATGTAAGAAAGGAGTTTTGTTTTATTGCGGTCAAACTTTTTAAAAATATTTATTTTTTAAATTTTAACTAGCACTTAGGTAAAATGATAAGGGTATACAGGCTGTATACTTAGGTGGATGCCCGTGTTTGTGGTTTAGCTTTCTATGGGGATATTAGTGTATATGCTTGATAATCACAGTTGGTATCATTTGAAAAAAAAAAAAAAAGTGAGCAGGTATTGCTATCATTTGTCAGATTAGAAATCCACCAAATTTGTCCATTTTGTCACAGATCAGTTTGTGAAACTCTATGAACAGACTTAATTCAATTGGATAGTGCATCCCTTGGTTAACCGCTTCCCCGCTGCCGTATAGCAGATATACTGCTACATGGCAGCATGGGTGCGCTGACGCCCGGTGATTACCGACAATCACCGACAGGGAGGAACACTGTTCCACTGCAGTCCCGCTAAAAGTCGCTGATCACCCCCATTACTAGTAGGAACAAAAAAAAAAAGCGTGAAAGAAAAAGGTGCACAAGCAGCAGGGATGACCGCAGCCTGGAGAGGATTGTCAGGAAAAGGCCATTCAAAAGTGTTGGGGACTTTCACAAGGAGTGGACTGAGGCTGGAATCAGTGCATCAAGAGCCACCACACACAGACGGATCCTGGACATGGGCTTCAAATGTCGTATTCCTCTTGTCAAGCCGCTCCTGAACAACAAACATCAGAAGTGTCTTACCTGGGCTAAAGAAAAACAGACCTGGTCTGTTGCTCAGTGGTCCAAAGTCCTCTTTTCTGATGAGAGCAACTTTTGCATCTCATTTGGAAACCAAGGACCCAGAGTATGGAGGGAGAATGGAGAGGCACACACTGCAAGATGCTTGAAGTCCAGTGTGAAGTTTCCACAGTCTGTGTTGATTTGGGGAGCCATGTCATCTGCTGGTGTTGGTCCACTGTGCTTCATTAAGTCCAGGGTCAACACAGCCGTCTACCAGGAGATTTTGGAGCACTTCATGTTTCCTTCCGCAGACGAGCTTTATGGGGATGCTGACTTCATTTTCCAGCAGGACTTGGCACCCGCCCACCACTGCCAAAAGCACCAAAACCTGGTTCAATGACCGTGGGATTACTGTGCTTGATTGGCCAGCAAACTCGCCTGACCTGAAACTCATAGAGAATATATGATGCATTGCCAAGAGAAAGATGAGAGACATGAGACCCGAACAATGCAGAAGAGGTGAAGGCCGCTATTGAAGCATCCTGGTCTTCCATAACACCTCAGCAGTGCCACAGGCTGATAGCTTCCATGCCACGCCTCATTGAGGCAGTAATTGCTGCAAAAGGGGTCCAAACCAAGTACTGCGTACATATGCATGCTTATACTTTTCAGAGGTCCGATATTGTTCTATGTGCAATCCTTGTTTTATTGATTGCGTGTACTATTCTAATTTTCTGAGATTGTGGATTTGGGGTTTTCATGAGCACTAAGCCATAATCATCACAATTATGACAAATCATGGCTTGAACGATCTTGCTTTGCATGTAATAAGTCTATCTCTTATATTAGTTTCACCTTTTAAGTTGCATTACTGAAATAAATGAACTTTTGCACAATATTCTAATTTTTCGAGTTTCACCTGTATACCATCATTTGTAATTGCTATAACTTTCACATAAACCAATTCATTTACATGTATTGGGATTTTTTTTTAGCAAAGACATGTAGCAGAATACATTTTGGCCTAAATTTATGACAAAATTAGATTTTTAAATTTTTTTACTGAACATTTTTAATAGCAAAAAGTCCAAAATATTGTTTTTTTTTCTCAAAACTGTCGGTCTTTTTTTGCTTATAGTGCAAAAAATAAAAAACACACAGGCAAATACCACTGAAAGAAAGCTCAATTCGTGGGAAAAAAAGGGCATAAATTTAATCTGGGTGTGGCGTTGCATCACCACACAATTGTCAGTTAAAGTAACACAGTGCCGTAACACAAAAAATGGTCTGGTCAGGAAGGGGGGTAAATCCTCTGGAGGGCAAGTGGTTAAATATACATATATATTTACCCTTTGAGGACTCTGTTCAGGCCCTTCTGTAGTAAAATCTTCCTGGGAATGGGTAAAATATGTCTTTGACGCTGTAGTGAGATCTTCATCATAAGGCACTGAAAAAGGTAACACAAAATTGGTATTACTTTAAGTAAATCAATTCTGAACTTCAGCTGTCTGGGTCAGAAACAATCAGTTAAACCCACATTAGGTTATATTGGAAGGATGCACTAACTTACTTTCAGCAGCCACATAATTTGCTGGAAAATAACCCTGTTGTCCATTTTGTAGAATGCCAAACCACCAATTGTCATTATCTTTGTATAACACATGGATAATGTCACTACGATGAAGGCTTAGCTCATCTGATCGATGTGCAGTGTAGTCATACAGAGCCACAACCTACAAGAGAGATAACAACACCACAACTTTATCACATTAATGCCACAAACAAAGGTCTGAGCATTTACTTCCTCTCACAGTAACACAGCTGAAACCAAAGCTCTACCTTGGTAAAAGCTGAGGCTTTTTAAACTTTTACTAAAAGGATCAAGGTGGTGGGAACACAGTATGAGACATACGATAATGGACTGTGGGAAACATGAAAAATGGTTTAGCACACTAATCAAATATACTGACAAACCAAGTACTGTACTACTTTCAAAACAGCTGCTTTTTTTGATTGATGAGCAAACACACATATACACAATATATTATATATATATATATATATATATATATATATATATATATATATATATATATATATATATATATATAAATAAAATACACATTGTATTTTTGGAATCAACATTTTCTATGGGACACTATTACTCTATTCTACAAAATACTCCCACAAATGTGGGCCATTGATTGCAAAGAAGATTTTTTAAATTGCACACACACAAAAAGTATTTTTCCTAACAAATTCAATTAAGACCATGTTGCAAAAAAATAAGACACCCCAATGAAAGCTACATTTTAGGCTACTTTCACACTGATCAACTATAAAAACACAGCAAAAATGCATAGGAGTTTTTACTGTGTTTTTGCCGTGCTTTCTGAGCGTTTTTAAAGGACACGTGACTTAAAAACTCCACCAAAAATGCTCCTAAGAGACGTTTTTGAGGCACTTTTCTAGGCTTTTTTTTTGTGTGGCGCTTTTTCAGGCATTTTCCATTGATTTCAATAGGAACAGGCATTTTTATTTTTAGCTTGCCAAACATGCCCCAAGAATACCACACTGCAAGTGCAACGCAGTGTGAAAACATACACAGATATACATTCACATACATAGGGAAGTGTATTTCTTGAGATTTTCAGGCGCTTTTTTTTAACGCAAAAACGCTTCAAAAACTACTCAGTGTGAAAGTAGCCTTAGAAAAAAAAATCCTAATTAACAAGAATTCAACTACAGGTGAGTGGAATTATTCATCAAACAGGTGTCCAGCAGACAGTTGATTATAAAAGGGCGTTACTTAACAAAGAAAACCCCTTCCCATTTCATGCTGTCAGCAATGGCACCACATGGAAGAGAAATGTCTAGAGAAAGGCCTACGAAAGAAAATAAATTATTTACACAAGAAGAGTGAGGGCTACAAGAAGATCAGCAAAGCTTTACCTATCAGACAGAATACTTCAGAAAAAGTGATGGAACTGCAACCATCTCACATGGCCGTCCAGGCTGTCCATGGAGGTCAACACCTCGACAGGAGCATGAGCATCTTCTGATGAGAAGGGTTGAAGAAAATTACCGTTCAAGTTCACTGCAGTTAGCAAAAGAAATAGAAAGCCAAACTGGGGTGATTGCTTCCTGTGGCACAATATAGAGTACACTGCAGAGGAATGGAATGCATGGGTGTTGTCCACAAAGGAAGCCTCTCCTAAACTCCATGCACAAAAAATCCAACCTAGAATTTGCCAGTGCCCATGCTGAAAAAGAAGACTACTGGGACTGGCTTTAAAACTGTATTGCGTCGCCAAGGTGAGGAGTACAAAGAAAAATGCCTACAGTGAAACATGGTGGTGGCAGTGTCCTTCTCTGGGGCTGCATGAGTGCTGCTGGTGTCGGGGAGCTGAATTTCATTGATGGAATTCACAGATGTACTGCTCTATATTGAAAGAGAAGATGCTACTATCACTCCGTGCCCTTGGTCGTCATGCACTTTTTCAACATGACAATGATCCAAAACACACATATAAGGCCACTGTTGCATTTCTGAAGAAGAACAAGGTGAAAGTGATTCAGTGGCCAAGTAGGCCTCCTGATCTGAACCCAACTGAACACCTATGGGGAATTCTGAAGAGACACGTTGAGCATCGCTCTCCATCCAGCATCTAAAAGAAGAAGAATGGAAAAAAGATAGATGTTGCAATATGTCGCCAACTTGTTCATTCCATGCCTAGAAGACTTGGTGCTGTCCTTACAAACCATGGAGGCTATACAAAATACTAGATGTAGTTTTTGTTGGGGTGTGCATTCATTTTTGCACCAACTAATTTGAGTAAAAAGTAAGATTTTGTAATCTAAGTTATATTATTAACCTTACTTTCATGTAATGAGCTAAATAAATGCTCTATAAAACTCAGTTTTGTCAAAATGTTGGAAATTGTTCTTGTGTTCATTGAGATATTGATTAAAATCTTACTTTTCAAAAGGGGTGTACTCATTTATGCTGAGCACTGTATATATACAGTATATTGTGTATATGTGTTTGTGTACACACAAACACACACATTACTGAGCAAAAGTTTAGGCAGGTATGAAAAAATGCTGTAAAGTTAGAATGCTGTCAAAAATATATATTTTAATTGTTTATTCTTATCAATTTACAAAATGCAAAGTGAGCGAACAGAAAATCTACATCAAATCAATATTTTATGTGACTACCCTTTTGCTTCAAACCAGCATCAATTCTTACACTTGCACACTTTAAACACTTGCACAAAGTCAGGGATTTTGTAGGATTAGAATCAGGTGTACGATTAATCAATTATACGAAGCAGGTGCTAATGATCATCGATTTTATATGCAGGTTGAACCACAGTCTCAAGCTGAAACAGAAACAGCTTAAACTGGTTGAGGAACAACCAAACTCTGCTACTAAGGTGAGGTTGTGAAAGAGAGTTTCATGTCACAGGCAGGGGTGGACTGACAGCTCCTGGGGCCCCTGGGCAATAAGGGATCATGGGGCCCCTGTGTCCTCGCCCACACTCAAACCACACCCAAAAAAGCCTATGAAAGGTACCAGGGGCATCTCATGGGGTCCCCTACTGACCCCAGGCCCTCAGGCAGTGCCCGAGTTCCCAAATGGTCAGTCCGCCCCTGGTCACAGGTCATCATAGCAAGACTGAGCACAGGAACAAGACACAAGGTACAAGACATACTGCATCAGCAAGGCCTCTCCTAGGAAAAGATCTCAAAGCATACTGGGGTTTCATGGTGTGCTGTTCAAGAAGTACAAAGAAATGGGTAACATTGAGGACACATCATGCTTACTTCCCTTCCACATCGGAAGATGTCCAGCAGTGTCATCAGCACAGAATCTACTGTTTAGAGAAGTCTGGCCAGAAGTGGTCTTCATGGAAGAATTGCGGTCAATAAGCCATTCAGAAATGATTAAAAAAGTACTACCGATTTTATATAATCTTTTTCAGTCCCTTGCAACATGGCAAATAAATTGACAAGTTCAGTCACAGAGGCAGCAGCTAAGCAGGCACCAACAATTTTTCCCTCTTTGAAGCTCATTAAGCTCTGACACAATTCCGTATTACTAGCAACGCATGCAGTGAATGATGAATGTGAGGCTTCCCACCTGTTACATAGGTGTCTCATCACACAGCGGAAGCAAAATAAATGTTACATCACATCCGTTTTTAATGTGAAACAATGAGGCTGATATTCTCAAGGACTATATGCATAGATTCACTATAATTATCTAATCACATTATAAGAAAAGCTCTGTTTACGTATTTAATCTGCACATAATTAATAATTGGATAATTGATGTAAAAATTTAATTTTATGAATTGCCTGAACATACAAGTCTTTTAGTAAACCTGCCTTGTTATATCATGTAGGTAGTATCCCAACAAAATATATTTATTTGAGGTATTTGTATAGCACTGACAATTTACACAGCAATTTACATATACTGTATATATTGTACATTCACATCAGACCCTGCCTTCAAGGAGCTTACAGTCAAGTCTCAACTCACATTCATACATACACATACTAGGACTAATTTAGACAGAAGCCAGTTAACCTACCAGCATGTCTGTGAAGTGTGGGAGGAAACCCACCAGACACAGGAAGAACATGCAAACTCCAGGCAGGTAGTGTCATGGCTGTAATTCGAACCGCCGGCGCTAGTGTTGCCAGGCAAAGGCGATAACCACTAAAATATTTATCCCAATGGGTTTTATTTTCTTGCAAATTCCTTCTTGACTGGACATCGTTCATTATAGGTTTAGTACAAAAAAAAAATATATATACATTCTCTCTTTATACTCCCCCCCCCCCCCCCCCCCATCTCATATACCATGTCACATACCAACAAATTATTTCCTTTTCTCTATTATTAAGACCACTCTAATACCCTGCACCTACTACACTATAGGGTAGATTTACTATAACTGGAGCACTCAGAATCTGGTGCAGCTGTGTAAGGTAACCAATTAGCTTCTAACTTCAGCTTGTTCAATTAAGCTTTGGCAATAAAACCTGTAAGCTGATTGGTTTCTATGCAGAGGTGCACAGATTTTGCACTTTCCAGTTTTTAGGAAATAACCCATGTACATGTTATAGGAGAATGAAGAGAAGGCAGATCAGTTGCATTAGGTGAAAATAGTTTGGCACAGGTTTGTCACTTCTAATACTGTATGTATTTTGGTGCCAAAATGTTTTGATATATTGGTGCTAACTTATTAAAGGAGCTGAGAATCTTCACTCAAAAAATTAATAACGGGATTTCATCTCACTTCCTGTTTTTGGCTATGGGAGACGAAGTGAAGGTAAATTTCTCCAATGGGATACTGATGGCCAAAAAACTGATAGAGGTTATAACCCTCCCTTACTCTATCCAAAATGAAAACAAATGTTTTGACATTTTTAGTAAAATAGCAATATAGTAATTCTGGTACCATTATTAATAATTTTCATCAGGACTGTATTATTGGACAAAGGCTAAAGACTGGTTTACACTGTTGGTTAGTTTTAGAGGTTAGGCTGAGACTAAAAATTAGATCTATTGTTATCGCATATAAAAATATACTTTCCATTTACTAGAATCTATCTACCCATCTGA